GTTGTCTCCCCTGGACCTGCTCCAGCACCTCCAGCTCCTTCTTGCAGTGAGGGGCCCAGAGCTGGACACAGGGCTGGAGCTGAGGCCTCCCCAGGGCTGAGCACAGGGGGACAATCACCTCCCTGCTCCTGCTGGCCACCCCATTCCTGACACAAGCCAGGATGCCATTGGGATGCCCCACCTGGGCACACTGCTGCCTCCTGTCCAACCAGTTGTCACCCAGTGCTCCCAGTTCCCTCTAAGCTGGCAGCTCTCCAGCCACTCTTCCCACAGCCTGTGGTGCTGCAGGGGGTGATTGTGGCCAAAGTGCAGGACCCTGCACTTGGGCTTTTTGAACCAAGTTGAACCTCAGAACTGTTGCTCCCTTGAGGGGTTAACACTCAGCTGTGCTGGAAATCCCTGCTGCCCTCCCTTAAAAAGGCTGGTGCCCCCACTTCCCTGGCTCTCCTGGGTGCACTGAGATGGAAAATCAGGACTGGAAGTGAGGAAGGAGCACAGCATAACCCTCTGTGGCATCTACAAAGGTCACCTCTAGGTTCAATCATTGTCTCTCAAGAGAGCACGACAGATGTTTACTCTCTCAGGTCAGACCCAACTGACCTTCATTGATTTTTATGCTCAGTTACAGCTAATTTTTATTTCCCTAATGCAGGAACACTCTGCCCATCTAATGCTAACCCCCTCCAGCCACTTGTTGCAGCCATCTGGCCACTGCCCCATCCAGCAGACTGGACCTGCTGCCACCTCCTCTGATGAAACAAAGGACAGGTGAGCCTAAAAAAGGGAGAGTTGAAAACAACTGCTCCCAAGAACTCTTCCCCAGCCACAACAAGGGGGCTCTTAATGCTTATAAACATCTACAGGGGGTCTCAGGAGGATGGGGCCAGACTCTTCTCTGCAGTGCCCAGTGACAGGACAAGGGGCAATGGGCACAAGCTGGAGCACAGGAGGTTCAAGCTGAACATAAGAAAAAGCTTCTTTCCTGGGAGGGTGACAGAGCCCTGGGACAGGCTGCCCAGGGAGGTGGTGGAGCCTCCTTCTCTGGAGACATTTCCAAACTGGTCTGGATGTGCTCATAGAATCACAGAATGGTGAAGGTTGGAAGGGACCTTGAAGATCATCTAGTTCCAACCCCCCTGTATGGGCAGGGACACCTCCCACCAGACCAGGCTGCACAAGCCCCATCCAACCTGCCCTTCAACACTGCCAGGGATGGGGCAGCCACACCCTCCCTGGGCAACCTGTTCCAGTGAAATCCAGTTCCTGTGTGATCTACTGGAGATGATCCTGCTCTAGCAGGGGGAGTTGGACCAGATGATCTCCAGAGGGCCCTTCCAACCCTACTCTGTGACTCTAACCCATTGTTGCTTTCTCCTCCAACTAAGAGTCTCCAACCTGCAACACAGCAGATCCTGTTTCAAGCCCCATGTACGTGTTGCTGCTACAAGTGCCAACAGGTTTAGGGACATGAGGTTGGGACATGAAGGACACATTGGCAACCTCCCCTTACCCCAATCACGTGGACTTTAAGTGGCCTCTCTCTCCCAGTGAGTTTCACAGCGTCCTCGAACACGTTAAAGTTGCTCCGTGACAGGATGGTTATCTTCCCTTCCCTCAGGCCTCTCACATCACCTGCATGGAGACATTCCAAGTTCCCCAGGGTGGTTAGGAAGTATCTAAACCCAAAGATCTTCATCAATCAGGATTCAAGCCTGAGAAGCTTTGGTGATCATTCCCAAGCTCTGTAACTCCCAGGCTCTGAACGAAGCCGAGCCCAGGGAGTCACCACCACGACTTACCCTTCTGGTTGCCACCCACTAGGGTCTTATTCCTGATCCTCTTGCAGACATCCAGAATGGTTGCTCCAACATAAGCTATTTCAGGGCCAAATCTGAAGCTCTACGTGGAAAAAAAACACGAAGGGAACAGCAGGAAAAGAAGAGGAACATGTTAGAACCTACCCAAGTGTTCCTACAGATGGAACGAGACAATTCCCACCAACCTTCTGGATAAGGTTTCTCTTAGATAAAAAACAACACCCAAATTCCCTCAAATGATTCCTAGGAATTCTGGTCACTCCTACACCCGAGGGAACAGGAGATGGGACAATCAGAAAGGGAAAAAATGTCTTTTCCAGGCTCTCCACCCCAACTGCTGCCCCTGCTGGGCTGCTCAGGAGGTTAAGGTGATGTGGCAGGTCTGTCCTGCAGCAGGGCAGGACTTGGAGGTGGTGGGAAAGCAAGCAGGTCCCTCACTTTGCTGGGCTGCTGGGGAGGTGGCAGAGCAGAGCAGCTGAGCAGGCCTGGAGGCTGCTCCTTCTTGTTTCCTCACCTGCAGACCTGGGGCCAACAGCCAGAACGCTGTAGTACCCCAAACATGCCAGAGGGGAGGTGATGCAAGGCTGGCCCCAAGGCTTGTCACAACTTGTGGCAAATAAAGGCAGTTGCTGCTCCTTTGTGCCTGGCCCTGGATCCTGCCCCTTGGCAAGGCTGGCACAGCACAAGGGCAGCTGGGATGGGTCTTTTGGTGGCCACTGTGGCTTAGGAGCTGGTTGCAAGTTTCTCTGAGAGAGGAACTATCCAGAGGAGGCCACAGAGATGATGGGAGGCCTGGAGCAGCTCTGCTCTGGAGACAGGCTGGGAGAGTTGGGGTGTTGAGCCTGGAGAAGAGAAGGCTCCAGGGAGACCTTAGAGCAGCTTCCAGTGCCTGAAGGGGCTCCAGGAAAGCTGGGGAGGGACTTGGGACAAGGACAGGGAGGGATGGGAGCAGGGGGATGGATTAAAACTGGAGGAGGGGAGATTGAAATGAGATCTAGGGAAGAAATTCTGACTGGTTTGGCTTGGCTTCAAGATCATCCAGTTCCAGGCAGGGACACCTCCCACCATTCCAGGCTGCTCCAAGCCCCATCCAACCTGCCCTTCAACACTGCCAGGGATGGGGCAGCCACAGCTTCTCTGGGCAACCTGGGCCAGGCTCTCCCCACCCTCCCAGCCCACAATTGCTCCCTCACATCTCAGCTCCAGCTCCCTCTGCCAGCTGGAAACCCTTTCCCCTGCTCCCATCCCTCCCTGTCCTTGTCCCAAGTCCCTCCCCAGCTTTCCTGGAGCCCCTTCAGGCACTGGAAGCTGCTCTAAGGTCTCCCTGGAGCCTTCTCTTCTCCAGGCTCAACACCCCAACTCTCCCAGCCTGTCTCCAGAGCAGAGCTGGTCCAGCCCTTGGATCACTAATGTGGTTTCACTCCCAGGAGGTCACTGCCAGAACAAAGTTCACCTCTTTGCTTCTAGCTCCACCTCTCTGCACACACTCAGTGCTGTGACCAACTGGCAACAGGAGCCAGGAGAATATTGCCTTTCTCCACTCAGCTGGAGCTGAGAACTCACCCAGAAAATAGGGGATCTCCTTCAAAAAAACCCACACACTGAGGTCTCTACCCCAGCAGCCACTTTTCCAGCCACGTGGCTTTCCTAGTGCTGGGATCACTGGGAACAGCAGCAAAGCCTCATCTTACCTGGGTCAGGTAGTAGATGTGGGTGTGAGGGACTGAGTAGAGGGTGTTGACAGCCCCTCGGAAGGTGTAGATCTGCTGGTGAGGGTCTCCTACCAGGATTATCCCACATTTCTGTGTCAGCACAACGTCCACGATGGCTGCAGGAAAAGATGGGAGCATGAGGGGGGAGGCTGCTCATGAACCAAGAGAGACCTGCCCAGCATCTCCTGCCTGCACAGGGTCACCTGAAATGCCTGATGACTCATGGCATTGAAGAAGGGAGTCAACACTGTGGAGGGTGATGGGGAGAAGCAAAGGGAAGTGTGTGGCTGACTGGGAGCTCTACAAATGTTCTTCCACATTTCAGAAAGCCCTTCAAGTCCACTTCTACCTGTCCCAGGCTCAGTGATGTTGGCAGAACAATTGCTGTGAAAGCACAGGCAAACATTTCAGCTCAAATCCTGGGGTCAGGGCTGGGCCCCTCAGGACAAGAAGGACCTGGAGGGGCTGGAGCGTGTCCAGGGAAGGGCCCCGGAGCTGGGGAAGGGGCTGGAGCAGAAGGAGAAGGGGCTGGAGAACTTGTGAGGAGCAGCTGAGGGAGCTGGGGGTGTTGAGCCTGGAGCAAAGGAGGCTGAGGGGAGACCTTCTGGCTCTGCAGCTGCCTGAGAGGAGGTTGGAGCCAGGGGGGTCGGGCTCTGCTCCCCAGGAACAAGGGACAGGACAAGAGGCAACGGCCTCAAGTTGTGCCAGGGGAGGTTGAGGTTGGATCTGGGGAACAATTCCTGCCTGGCAAGGGTTGTCAGGGCCTGGCCCAGGCTGCCCAGGGCAGGGGGGGAGTCCCCATCCCTGGAGGGGTTTCCAAGCCCTGGAGATGGTGCTGAGGGACATGGGGCAGTGGGGACTGGGCAGGGCTGGG